ACCGACTCGGAGCGCGTCCTCGACTTCACCGGGGCGGTGCAGCGCATGGAGGTCAACTGGTCCTACATGACGCCCCTGCTCTCGCGCAAGCTCAACGTCGACATCCTGCCGACGCTCAAGACCGTCTGCTTCCGCACACGGTCGCTGGATGAGGACTCGTACGCGCCGTGGGCTGGCAAGAAGAGGGTGCTTTTTGCCTATGGTGCACCGGACATCTGCCCCCTCGGTATCTCGTTTCTCGAAGTTTTTGGTCCCCACCAGCTCAACCGCATCGGTGGTCCGCTCGCGGGCAACTTCTGGATCGTCAACCCTGACGACCACCGCAGGCTGATGCCTGTTGGTGCCGTCGGCGAGCTCGTCATCGAGGGCCCGACTTTGGGCTGCGACTTCCGCAACGGCCAGGCCGATCAGACGCACGGGAGCGCTGCCGTGTTCTCGCCCGGAGGTTCTAGCCAGAAGACGCGGTACTTCAAGACGGGCCATCGGGTCCGCTATACGGAGGGAGGCTTCATCCAAATCATTTCGAGCAAGAAGGAGGACCTCGAGATTGGAGGACACACCATTGTAGTCTCGGAGCTGGAGCAGCACATTCGCCGCGGTCTCGGCCTTGGAATCGACGTCATCACTGAGGCGATTGCGTTCAAGGGAGCCCAGCAGGCCGAGCCGGTGCTCACCGCCTTCGTCGAGCTGGGTGAGATGTTCGATGGGCCTGAGGATCTGCGTCAGCTGTCGCGCACGACGCGTGAGCGCCTCTTTGCGGCACGGCGGCTCGCAGAGACAGGCCTGCGCAATGCGGTGCCATCATACATGATTCCGCAGATCTACATCCCCGTGAAACACCTACCGGTGACGGCCTCGCTCAAGGTGAACCGCCGCAAGCTGCAGAAGATCATCCACGGCCTCTCCAAGGAGCAGCTGGTCGCCCTCTCGACGGTGCCGAACCCGGGCGAGGTGCAGCGGTACTGCATGCAGCCGTCCCCGCTGAACCAGATGGAAGAGCGGATGCGTCAGATCTGGGCACACGTGCTCAACATTGAGGATGAGACCGCTATAAACAGCGGAGACGGTTTTATCAAAGCTGGTGGAGACGACATCCTCGCCACCAAGTTGATCGTCTGCTGTCGTCAAGAGGGCATCATCATCTCGATTGCGGATGTGCTTCGCAACACCACTCTCTCGGAGCTCTGTAAGACTGTGAAGTTTGCCGATGACCCACAGCAGGTGCACGCGCAGGCTCATGCGTCCTCGCACACACCCCAGACCTCCTCGCACACGCCCCAGACCTCCATGTCGTCTGTTGTTACGGTACCGGCGGCAACCACATACCACGAAGATACGCAGACGCAGCAGCAGCAGCAGCAGCAGCAGCAAAAGCCGCAGATACACCAGCAGCAGCATTCAAGGAACAGCATTGCCATGGTGCCTGCTGTAGTCGATCCGTCTCAGGAGCCTAGGAGAGGCAGCAATGGCGATGATCTCGAGTCCGTCCTCGCGAACAAGATCGGCGTCGACAGAGCCACGGTCAGGGAGGTGGCCGAAGCCTCGTCAATGCAAGCCCGCTTCATCGAGTCGGGTATGCTCCGCGGGCGTGCCAACATCAACTACTTTGTCTTTAGCTTCTCGGGCACGGTCAACTACAAGAAACTCGAGGACGCATGCCAGACGCTGGTGACGATCCACCCGGTTCTCCGCACGGCGTTCGTGCCTCACAAGCGCCGCATGTACCAGATAGTGTTCAAGTCCAGTGCGGGAGCCAGCTTCAAGCGCTACCTCTGTCCGAGCTGGCGCCTGTCCGCGTTCGCGGAAAAGGTGATCAAGAAGGACCAGGGGGCGCCGCTTGCCTTCGCATCGCCCATGACCAAGTTCATCCTCCTCGACGGCGGCAAGCAGTCGACGCTCCTGCTGCGGCTGTCCAAGGCGCAGTACGACGACCTGTCGGTGGCGCTGCTGGTCAAGGACCTCAAGAAGCTATACGACGGCGCCGAGAACCCGCCGCGACGACCGTCGTACGTCGAGTTTGTGCGGTCGGCGCAGGCAGCAAACTCGAGAGGCGCACCGGACTACTGGCGGTCGCTGCTCGAGGGCGCGTCCATGACCAAGGTGGTGCAGCACGCGCGGCCGTACCAGCTGACCAACCACAGCAAGACGATCAAACAGCGCCTCACAGTGGGCTCGCTCGCGCACCTCGAGATCTCTTTCGAGACGGTCATCAAGTCCGCCTGGGCCATGACGCTCGCATCGCTGTCGGGCTCCGGCGACGTCGTCTTTGGCGAGGTGGTCGACGGCCGCCAGATCCGGCTGTCCGGAGGTCAGTCCGTCGCAGGCGTCCTGGGCCCGACGGCCAACGCGATCCCGGTGCGAGTCAAGTTCCCCGACCAGCAGATCGCGCCGCTGGACCTGCTCAAGTCTGTGCAGGCGCAGCGCGTGGCCGGCATCCAGTTTGAGAATTTCGGCTTCCTCGACCTGGTGCAGTCGTGCACGACGTGGCCCTACTGGACCAGACTCAGCACCGTCGTGCACCACCAGTACGAGGAGACGACTGTGGTGCCGTCCGAGGCCAAGATCTTCAACCTCGGCAAGGGCGGCGCCGGCCCCTCGTGCAGGTTCACCATCATCGAGAGCCGCGCTCAGGACGTGCCAGACATGTATGTGCATACGCTCGCCCGCGGTGGCGGCGGGTCCGGCTCCGGCAGCCACACGAACAACGTCGAGGTGTGTATCACCTTTTGTGAGAGCCGCATCCCCGTCAGCTTCGCCGAGGAGACGCTCCGGGTGCTCGTCGAGAACGTGGCCACGTTTACGTCTGCCTCCATCACCGCTCCTCTCGTGCCGTCGTCCTCGGACTTCCAGAAGCTCAAGGCGCAGATCCCACTGCCGCAGGCGCCCTCCACACCGAGCATGGCTGCCGTCGACCTGTATGCCGCACCGAATGGCGACATAGCCCCCAACCACGCCGCGGCGATCCGCAAGGCCGTCGAAAGGGCATGGACTTCGGCGTCGCTCAACCCCGCGACCCTCAATGTGCCCGAGGAGCACAGAGATCACGCTGCATTCTACGACCTGTGGGGCTCGCTGATCCCTGCGTCACAACTGGCGTCAGCCCTGAACCGAGAGGTCCCTAAGCTCGGCCTCCCTGGGATTGGGGGCCCGGGAGACTTCTCCATCTCGATGGAGGAGGTCTTGGACAACCCGACCATTGCGAGGCAGTTCAACTTCATCGCGAGAAAGATGGCCGGGCACGGCAGCAGCAGCGGCGGCAGCGGCAGCAGCAGCAGCAACGGGCACAAGCGCAACGGGTCTTTGTCGTCGTCTCATCACGCGATATCGCTTCCGCGCCCATCGATCGTGTCCAAGATAGCGAGCAAGATTAAAGGCCACGATCAGGCACCACAGATGCCTCCCACTCCTTCCCTCTTCGTCGACGATTCCCGAACCACGGCGGAGAGCGTCCGGACTCCGTCCCGTTCGGGGCGTGATGGGGTTCTGCACACACCGTTGGCACTCATGGCATCCTCGATGCTCACGCCCGGCCTGCCAGTCACCACACCCGGCGCGCCCACGCCTATGGGCGCGTCTTTTACGGGACCGCTCCGCGACGACGGCGAAATCGAGCGGCAGCTGGAGCAGGCACTACACGAAATCTCTGGCGAGCCGCAGGCGCGAC